CCAGGGACCTCTGGCAGCGGGCCAGGACTGCCACAAACAGCATCCTGGGCCTCTGTCCCTGCTCGGAGGGTGCTTTTCCCAAGGCTGCTGCAGCTGGGAATAAAATCAGCGGGATTTTTCAGGCACTTGCTGCAATGACTTTCTAAATTATATCCACCTGAGCGACCACCACAACCCTTGTTTGGTCACCACAAGCTCGGGGTTTACCTTTCCTACAGTCCACAGATAACGTGGAGAACAACCAAGATGTGCAAGAACGATGGAATCAAAGTTATTACTGGAAAAACAATCCTGCTGGGATTTCCTTACAGGTGACAGCCCTGAGGCAGCACAGCTGCACTTGGCCAGGGGGAGCTTTTGGACAGAAACAAAGCATCCTGGGCCTCTGTCCCTGCTCAGAAAGGTGCTTTTCCCAAGGCTGCTGCAGTTGGGAATGAATCAGTGGGATTTTTCAAGCACTTGCTGCAACAATTTTCCAAGAGATATCCGCAGAACGTCACAATCCGTGTTTGATCAGCACAAACTCAGGGTTTTATTTTTTCTAGAGGGCAGAGATATGTGGAGGACAACTGAGGCAATCAAAGTTATTACTATAAAAACAATCCTGCTGGGATTTTCTTAGGGGTGACAGCCCTGAGGCAGCACAGCTGCATTTGGCCAGGGGAACCTTTAGCACAGAAATAAAACATCCAGATCTTTTTAAAAAAAAAAAAAAAAGGGTGAGAATTCTGTTATTGGAGGTGAAGAGAGAAAGGGCCAAAGGTTTCCACTCAGCACAGGCTGCTCGAGGCTCCTGAGAGCCACAAGGAACACGTTTTTCCCTGCACCCACTGCAGGTTTATCCTGCACACCCCAATTTGGGAATCGACTGCTAAAGGTGGGAAGCCAGAACGGTGCTCTGGAGACACCTCTGGATCAGAGACACCTACTTGGTCCAAGGCTGACACTTCTCATTCCTTCCCAGGGAGAAAGTCCCCTCAGGACACGGTGAGCACACTGGAAAAAAGGGAATAAACCAGGCAGGGCGTGAGCTCAGTGAGCAACACAACTTGTGTGACAGCCACACAGCAGTGACATTAATAACTTAACAACAATCTGCCTCGTAGAACGGACCCAACAAAAAGCCTCTAAAAACCGGAGATTTTGGGGTAGAAGTAACACAGCACACTCAGTGGTTCGTTTTAACCTGCAAGTGGCAGGATTTCCTGCTTTATCTACTGGTAAATGATGGATATCACCAAGGAGAACGTTCACGGTTCTGGCAGGAACCACAGAGCAACAGTTCGAACAACTGCCCTGGCGGGGAGATCTCCGAGAGATAAAAGGCAGGAAAAGCTTTTGACTGGAAACAACGAGGGGCAAAACGACAGCAGGTTTTGCACTGGAAATCACCACCCCAGCCTGGCGTGGAGGCAAGAGCTGGATGAGCCCGGCACGTCCCCAACTCACCACTTCCCAGGGGCAGCCCAGCTGGCATGAACCCTGCCCGGCACACGCACACCCTGTCCGAGGTCTTCTCGCACCTCTTCACCTCCACACTGCCCCGCTCTGGAAAAAAAGGAGCAGAAAGGCAAGTGAGGGACAAGACACCGAGAGAGAACGAAGATGAACCCCCCCCCCTCCTCCCCCATCGTGGGTGGAAACACCTGCAGAGAGTTTCTGACAGCCCTGAGGGCAGAGGTTTCCAGGCCCCATCCATCAGCACGGAGCAGGAGGGATCACACATTGGGATAACATCGGGACAACCCAGACTGCGGGTCGGAGGTGAGGAAGCAAAGACTGATTTTTCCCAAATTTTTTGGGGGGAGGAACCCCCCTCTGTGCAGTGCCTTACTGGTGTTGCAGACTGTGCAGCTGCTGCAGAAGCTGTGGTGGTACTTGCTGCTGAAATACTCGTCCTGGCAGGGGCTGCACTCCGTGTCTGCCGTGGCCGTGCAGCGGTTCCTCATCCTCTCCCCTGAAACAGGCAGCACAAACTGCTTGGTAGCACCAAAAAAACCCCTCTTTTCTCTCCCCATAAATTATAAATATATGTATTTATCCATCAGTAATGCGACTCGGCCCAAATAAGCCCAGACTGGGACAGAAAAATCGTTGTTGCCTTCGTTTTGCCTCTCCATTTTCCCATCTGCAGGTCAGCGAGCACCATTCACCTGCTCACTCAAATTCTGTTTTATTGAGGGCTGAGTGGCAAAATGAAGATTATTAGAGAGCATAACACGTGTAATAAATTACATTTTTACTGTCTAGACAGGGAAGAGGCTGTGAAGAAATGTTTCCCCAGCAGCAGCAGATTTTCTAACCATGCAAAAACCTGATAAGAGTGGTTTTGGTTTTTTTTTTTTCAGTTTAAGGGGGAACAAAACGTGAGAGATAAAAGTGTTATCTCTATCTGCCCACTAACGTGCCTTGTCTTACACTGAGTGCAGAAACACTCAGATTTTAAAGAGCTTTGAGCTGAAAAGCTGATTTTATCCCAATTAGCATCTTGGAGGATAAAGCTCCTGCATCAGTTCACACCACAGACATCTTGGGGATAGACTTCATGAGGAAAATAAGAAGTAAGGAGGGAAAACCAAGCTGGTTTTTTTTCCTGGCAAAAAAGGCTGAAATTCCCTCCTGGAGACTTGTGGATTGTAGAAAAAAACTCGTTTAATTTCTACAAGAAGAAAGGAGGAAACAAGTAAGTTCCTGTCAAGTGACTTTGCTCATCTTCCTCTATGAATGGACTATTTTTCCTTTAAAAAAAAACATAATCCACCTTGTTACACTGTGCTGATCATTATGATCCAAGGACATGGGTTTATTGCCTTAAAAATCCCACCAGTAACATGAGTAATATAAACTCTGTTACAGAGGAAAAAGCTTAAAAAACATATTTAGCAGCAAAATAGTTTTCATTATTAACTAAGACTTCTGAGGGTTTTTATGTGATAAAGGACAGTAACATAAATGCCATCACTTTTTTTTTTTCAGATAATACTCCCAAAGTGAAAATTCCCTTGGCTGACACATTAAGAGACACAAGAGTTAAAGACTAAAAGGGAGATTCCTAATTTTTTTCTGTCATAGGAAAAAAAAAAAAATCTGTCAGGATTGTCCTCACCAAATGCTTTTCTTATATCCTTCCTATATCCTTACATTATATCCTTTATATTTCCATATTAAGGATATATCCTTAAATATATCCTTTATGTTGAAGTATATCCTTGTACATATTTAATTATACCCTTGTAAATCTTTAAGGATATCCTTGTATATATTCAAGGATATCATTGTATATATTTAAGGATATCATTGTATATATTTAAGGATATCATTGTATATATTTAAGGATATATTTGCATATCTTTAAGGATATCCTAATATCCTTATTTAATTAATTTCATAAATATTGATTAATTTAATAAATATATTTGAGGACATGCTGAAACATTCCCAGAAAGCTGTTTTATGCCACCTCTGGCTCCCTAACAAGCAGATTTCCCCCCAGAGCCCCCATCTGCAGTGACTTACCCGGGGCACAGTCGCTGCAACATTTGTCCCGGAAAGGATATTGGTGTTCCCCACATTCCAACCCCCAGGAACGGCCAACAGCAGCCAGCAGCACCACCAGCAGCAAGAAAACAGCAGGAAAATCCCAACCTGCAGCTGCCATAACCATCCCAGCAGAGTTTTCTGGGCTCTGGGAGATGAGATTGCACAGCCCTGGCCCAGCAGGACAGGCTGATATGGCGGGGCTGGGGAATTCCCAGCTGGTGCTTCCACGCCCCCTTCCTTCTTCCCACACCACCCCGAGCCTGCTTGGGGGGGGGGGGTTTGGGTGGTTGGTTTTTCTTTTTCTGCAGTTCATGAGTGAAAAGATTCACAGGCAGGAAGGCAAAGATGCTGAATTGCATTCTCAGCAGGTTTCTGTTCTTAGCCCTGAAGGTCCCTCTAAAGGAGCAGCAAAGCTCAGGTTGGGAACGGCTGGAAAAGCGGGAAAAGCAGGGATGGAGGAGGCTGAGCGGCTCCCCTGGCACTGCAGCTGTGCCCACACCCAGCACCGAGAACAGTGGACACATAAAGAGTTAGTGAATTTAATTTTTTAATCTCCCAGAATTTGACTTGTTTGGTCAAGGAATGAAATTTTGGGGGTTCCCGAGATGGGAGCAGAAAGGCCGAGTGAGGATGTGCCATGGGGAGCAAACCTCTGATTTGGATTAATTTAGATTAAAAAAAAAAAAACAACACAGCCAGGCTTCCCAAGTCACATCCAGGTGCAAAAGGAGGCTTGATTGGAACAGGAATTCTGGAATTGCAGTTTTCCTGCAGTGTCTGGGAGGGTTGGACAGCAACATCACAATGGATTCATCCGCAAATGCTGCTTCTCTTTCCTCTCCTCAATTTCTGGGAAGAGGCAAAACAGCAACTCCTTATCTACTTCTCCTGTTTTCCAAGGATTTGGGAAGGTAACCCCTATGGAAAAGATATTATAGCTTGAGATTTTTCTTTCCAAAAGTCCCCTCTCCCTGAAGTGGAACCACCTGCAGGCAGGGAGTAGCCAAACCTCTGATCATCCTGAGCCCAACAGAAATCATTCATTATCAACAGAAAAAATACATACACTTGTCAACTGATATTACTAAAATGTCTCCCTTTAAGCTCATTTCACTATGAGATTATCAATGGAATTTATCCCTCCTTTCCCCTTTTAAAATCCCGTTCTGTCTCTTCCCAAGAGTTTCGTTTTTCCCCACAAACCTGAACCCAGCACCGTTTCCAAACGGAGAAAAATATTTAATGGGAAAGAAAAAAAAAGAGATATATTGATATAAAAAAGACTCTTATACAAGCCATTTAATAAAACCAACAAAAAAAGAGGAGGAAGAGTGAAACAGAACCAGCAATACTTATATTTACATTATATTAAGAGAATAAATTTAATCAAATATAACATCTCGCTCGGATTTTGCAGGAACCCTTCACAAAGAGGGTTTTTCGGGGTTGGTTGTTTTTTTTTTTTTACAGTAAAGATGGAACCAGAGTAAAAATAAACGTTCTATTTTTGCAGTAGTGGATGGGAGCCAAGATGCTCTGAGAGATTACCCAGAGCCAGGCTGATCAAAGGGCTTCCCGAGTGCCGGGTGTTCACAGCTCAGAAGCAAAGCCTGGAATTTCCCCCCTTCAGCACCTCAAATTCAGCTCCAATTTGCACAGAGACAACTGATTTTACCAGTCTGAACAGCAAGTTTGAGTCCACGAAGAAACTTTCCCCTTGCATTTCGTTTCAGAGCCAAATCCGGGGTATTTTTGAAGCCATAATCTGAGCTCTCCCCCATCTCCCCCCAGGGCAGTTGCCAACACAAAGCCTGTCGTGCTACAACCAGGTTTATTTTGAAGTAGATGCCAAAGAGCTTCTCTCTCTGAAGTTTAAAACAAATTCCTCCCCACAGTCCCGAAGGATAATTGGGAGATGGAGGGAAAACTTGGATTAAATTCCCAACTGGGCTGAGAAAACCACTGGGAGATGGGTGGAGCGTTCCGTGGGTATTCCCAGGAGGTCAGAACACGCCTTGGAACCACCAATCCCTTCCCAAATCCCAACATCTCCCTGTAATCCCTGATTCCCAAGGATCAGCAGCTACGAGGGCAACAAGTGAAGTATTTCAGAAGCCTCCCCCAGGTATGATCTGTTGAACTTCAGCTGGAATCACTGCCCAATCCAGGGTGAACTGAGGGATTCCAGGGCCTTTCCCACTCTTCCCGGCCTGGTTTCCCCTCACCCCAAAAGGCAGCAGATCCCGTGGATGGACGGAAGGTTGGAAGTCTGGGACAACAAACTGGAGGCAAAGAACACAGATTAGCAGCAAAGGAACTTTCTGTCTGTTTGGGGCTCGGATTTCTTCCTTTCTCCCTCTCTTTTTTTTTGAAAGCCAGAAAGTGCTTCAGAGCTCTGGGCCAGCGAGCAGGGTCAGAATTCCTCGTGGACATTCCGTGCATAGTCCATGAGTTTGCTGCCCGTGAAGTACTCGCTGTATTTCAGGATCTCCTCCAGCTCCAGGTGGTGGTTTTGATTCTCATCTGCCACTGCAATCATCTGCTTGGCCTCGTTGAGGGCGTTGTACTCGTTCATGGGATCCATGTACTCCTGGAAACAAGGAAGAACATCCTCGGCACTCACTTGCCCGCACATCAGCACCTGCCCCTTCCCCTCACATGAAATAAATTAAAAGGTGGGGCACTTAATTAAAAGTTAGGAGACTCAAGATTTCATTTTTCCCCGGAATATGTGATGGATGTGTAAGTACACAAAGACTTCACAGGTAAAACAGCTGTTTTTAAAAGGAAATTCTCAGGAAAAAGGTCATAAAATTTGTCCATATAAATATGTATCCATAAAATATCAAAAATCTATACCCAAATATTTGCATACTGAGGTGAGGGACTTCAACATTCATCCAACTTTCATTTAAACTTTAACAGTCTGGGGAAGAGAAAAAAGTAGTAGAGTAGTTCTTCTTGCAGTAAAAAAAAAAAAAAAAAAGCCCCAAACTAGAATCCACACTTGAAAAATAATAATTTGGGGTTAAAAAAAGAATAAACAGCCTAAAAGACAAGAGCTCTCTGCTGTTTTCAAAGCTGTGGGACCCACAGTGTTTGTTCCACGCTTGAAAATCATTTGGGTTTTAAACAAGAAAAACACCCTGCTCTTTTCAAGGCTGTGGGGCCCCACTGTTTGTTGGGCACTGGTTTTTTTTTTTTCTCAATGAATCTCTAGATGGGCAGTTACTCCTTTTACAACTGGAAGTCTGAGTCAGTGCCACGTGGCCCAGCTGAGCTGAGGAAACCCGTGCCTGCTTTCAGCTTCCCCCCCCACCCTCCCCCAAAAAAAACCACCAAAGTGTGTTGTGTTTAAAATTATTTGGTTTGAAATTATTTGGGAACTCACCTCCAGCTCTTCCATGGTGACAATCCCATCATGATTGGCATCGATCACCTCCTCAAACTCCTTCCTCCTGTCCTTCACCCAGTCGTCATCGATGTCCTGAGCCTGCTGGTTCTCCACGGTGCCAACAGGTAAGGAAATGAACTCTGACAGGGTGAGTTTTTTATCTCCATCCTGATCTGCAAAAGCAGAAGTGAGAAGTTATTTGCTCCAGTGCCCATTAAAAAGGAGAAATCTCACTGGGCCGGGCTGCCTGCAGCCCACAGCCCTCACTGCACTCCTGTGCCAACACTTAGGGATTAAAAAATACAACTTTGTTGTAAAACTCAACCATTTGTTCCCACTTTGATGAGTGGAAGTCACGACTGTGACATGGCTGCTGCACTGGGGTTAGTGCCCTCCTCATGAAACTTACTGTTTTATAATATTTAATGTTCAGCAAACCTTTTCTACCATTGCTACCATGACCCTGGAGCAGCAGAGCTGAAGCTGAAGGAGCAGAAGATGATTTGCTTCCTGTGAGGTACCTTTAATGTTTCTACTCTTGAGTACCCTTCTAATGTTCTGCTTTTTAACAACCAGAGCCTTGAGACAACTGCAGACAGATGCCAGGATTTGTGATAACAGCTTGGGGTTTGTTTTTTTTTTAACTCATCACATCAGCAGATGAGCAAACAAAGATGTGCCAGAATTCCAGCCCGACCCAGGGCAGCGCAAGGACCACCCAACAAAACGGCGTGAGAGGAAACAGCTCCTGAGAAGACACTGGAAAATTCCATACCCAGATCCCGGATGATTTCCTTCACCATGAACTTCAGCATCCCCCTGCTGTGCTCTGGATGCAGGAAGGACAGGAATTCTTCCTCATTCAACAACAGGTCAGGAGGGGGGTTGTCAGCCTGGTACCACCGATCCTTCAGGTTGTCTAAAACTTCCTGGGCTGCAAATTTCACCAGATGTTAAAGTTGTTGTCACCTTCAATCTGTTTAAAAGCTCTTAAAATACTCCTTGCCCTGACACTCGATGCTCCATGAGCCACCCCCCACCCCCCCCAGTTCCACTTTTCACAGTATTTAATGACACGGAAATGTTTTTGCTGCAAAGAGCAGATGCAAATTGAAGTACCTGCGAATCAATAGATAACTCAGCACCCAAATCCTTTTACTTCTCTCTTCGTTTCATTTCACAATCCCACTTCTTTCACCTTACACCGTGCACACAACCACTGAAGTGAATTTTTTTTCCCCTTAACTCAGCTGAGAATCACAATTTACCCCCAAGTTTCTGCTAAAACCACACATCTGAGTTGAAATCAAACCCACACGGCGTGGATTTGGGTGCACCTACCGGGCCTGAAGAGACCCACAGGAAAGAAATACCTGCCCAGAGTATTCTTTTTCTCATGTAGGCATTTTCTAAATGACACACTGGAAAAAACTCTGCCTGCAGCGCTCCCTGCTACCTGCAAGCACACACTGAAACAAAAGTCTGAAACATCTGCTTTGCAGCAAGTTTTAAAACCTTCTGAAAGGCTTCAGATAATGATTTTTTTAATTTAATTTAACACACTGGCTTAAATAACTCCTGAAGGCTTTTGGCTGTTGAGTTACAAGAGGAAGAACAACCCCAATGGTCACATCTACATTTCTGGGCTGATGGTTGGAATTTTTCAGTGAATATTTCTGTGAAGAGTAAAGAAATCCTTCAGTCTTAAAATAAAGATATTAATAACCTTGGGCAAGTTTGCAGCTGGCAAGTTTTAGTTATATCAAGGACACAGGTCAACCAAGGCAGTCAACCCCAAATGTGAGAAGTCCTAATTCAACTCCCTTTGCCTTAAGTCTTAAATGAAATTAAACTGTCAATCACCAGCTAGAACTGGTGCTTTAATTCAAGGAGTGCCCCTAATTTTGGCCTGTGCTCCTGCTCAGGCCTTACACATCCAGGTGTTCATTAAACAGATCCCCTCCCCCAAAAAAAGGCATTTTTTACACAGCATTAGAGTCCAAGACTCAGCTTTGCCTCTGGGCCCAGGAAGCTGCAGATGAAGTAATTTGATTTTTCCAAATAAGGCTTGGGGCCCAGGTAGAGCAGTGCTGGTGCAGAGACACTTGCCTGACTCAGCAGATGTGTTATCTGCTGAGCATTCCTGTAAACTGCAGCCAGGCCCCCCTGCACAGGTGCTTTCCCTTGCCAGAAAGCTCAAAGCTCCATTTGCATCTCAGTTGCTTTTTGATCAGTGGAAAGTGTAACACAACCAGCTTTTAAATGACTAATTCCTGCAGGGAAAGGCAAAAAGGCTTTGTGTTTTACTTGACAGTAAATGTAAACGGAGTAAACTTAAATCCTTGGGTTGGGGAGCTCGGGAGATTCCTGCTAAAATCTGCCCGTTTTTATGGCAGATTTCAGGTGGAAAGAATGAAGGATTTCTGCCTTATGACTCCCACCTCCTATATTTGGGTATAGGCAGAACAACCGAAACATTCAGCTTAGAAATCATGAACAGCTTTGACATTCAGGTTTCAGGAACACAACAGAAAAACCAACACCCCCCCAGTCTGCACTTACTTTCTTCATCTATTTTCAGCTCTTCGTTGTTCTTGATCTTCTCAGCAATTTCTTTCTCATTAAAGCCTTTACTTGCCAGGAATTTGATTTTATATTCATCCCAGGACACGTGGCCTGTGAGGAAGAGACAGATCTTAAATGCTGAACTTTTGGTCTCATGACTTTAAAAACAAAACAAAACAAAACAAAACACCAAACCAGCCCATTCCAAACCTTTTGGTCCAGCCCAAGCAGCAGACCGAGGTTTATGAGTGGCAAGATAAAAACTATCACCTGATTCAACTTTTACTTGTTTGGGCTTCATGGAAACAACCGGTGGGGTTGTCACCACAGCACCTCTGAGTGGCTGTGGTCACCAGGAGATGCAGGAATGGCTCCTCTTACCGTCCCCATCGGGGTCCACAGCTCTGAAGTGCATTTTGTTCTCCTCCACGGCCTCCTGGAAATGCTCATCCGTCTTCTCCATGATCCAGCGCTGCATCTCCTTGGCTCCAATCTTTTTGTCATTATTTATATCCACCCTGGGCAAAGGGCAAACCACATTTAAGATTTGGGGGGTCGGGCAGTGAAAGGTGCAGATTCGAAATGAATTCCTTTATTCAGCGACAACAAACAGGCTGAGAACATTTACAACCCTCTGGGAGAAGCTGCAGGTTCTTGGAACTCCAGAGTAGTAAGTGGGAAGAGAGCAATTTATTGGCTAATTAAAGGAACTGCAATATTGAGTTACTCCTCAGTGGAACACACTCAGCCCTCCTTCACTTCTCTGCAAGGTAACTCAGGCTCTGTTCAATTTAACTCCCATTCCTGAGTAAATTTTTCAAGGAGAGGAAACCAGAGCGCATCCCAAATGGAAGAGTGGCTGGTTTGCTGTGGTTCAGAGCCATCAGCAGCTCCAGGCTTCCCCTAACTGCAAGCACTTGAACTGTTTTATACTTTGTAGCGCTTAAAAGTGGGAAAAGACCCCATGCTAATCCAAGTTTCCTCTGTTACACCTCCACCTGACAGCTGAGAGTTTTTAATTCTTAACACATTTACAGGTTCTGCACACACATTTGTCCTCCAGGAGGTTTCCAAGTTGTCTGCTTTGTCCAAGGATGTCCTTTTTCCAACTAAAACCCTCAGCAAACACCCAGCCTGACAATCCCTTTTTCCTGAATGGACCACCAATGCCACCTCCCAATTCCACCAATGCTGATTTTACTCAGGAGAACACAAAAATTACAGTTGAAGAACAAACACAAACCCCACTAATTTGCCACTTGGAAGGGTTTTTTTTTTTGAGGACACCTTTAAATATTTATTCAAAATAGATACAACTGAAAAGCCACTTAAGAGGCAAAAATCTATTTAAGGCACACCAAAACCACTCTTGTCCATTATAAAAACCAAACCCCAAACATAACAAAACCCCCCAGCTTGACTCTTGCTTTGTTATCTCTGTATCACTGAAATGTTATCACTGAAACTTGAGTTATTAAATATGTGATTTGCCTCTTAAATGTCAGCTAAATGTTAAAAAGCTCGAGCCAAATAACCACCCCAGCACCCGATCTTCTAAAAACACAATAAACCTATTACTGGAGGGGTTTAAATATCGTATCAGGGCTACATTTGAATCTCAGTGCCAAGAGCAGTAAGATGCTGATGGCAACTCTTTCCACCCACCGGGTTTGACGTGGAACAGGTACAATAAAAATGAGACTAAAGCAGAGCATTTTCCCCTCAACGTTTAACATTTTATTTCCTTAGATCAAAGCCAGCAAACTTTCTACTTCCAAGCCGTACTTTCCACCTAAAATCACCCCAGAACCAGAAGCGAACCTCCCATTTATTGCTCATTTAGGTCGTGACAAGCACAAAGGTGGCACCTCTGAGTAAGAAACAAGTGGGTATTTTGTAGGATAACTGAATTTTTCCTACGGTGAGGGTTATATTATATATGGATAAAACCAGAATAAACCACTTTCAGCCCAGATGTTCAACCACAAGCCACGAAAAAAAAAAAAAAAAAAAATCAGATTTTTGTGGCCACCCTCCAGAAGGTCCATCCCCAATAACCCACTTTCAGATCCCTGGTTTCAGGTCTCACCCAGAGCCACCCCCCCAAAAAAAACCGCTGAATTTTTGTTTTTTTCGAGCCCACAAATCACTTCAGAGCCGGTTTCTGTTTCATCCAAACAGTGACCTCAGGGAGCCAGAGCACAGAAAGCCAACCAACACAATTTACCTTGCCTGGAAAATCGTGGTTTGGGGAGCAATTCCTTCATGTTGCAACTTTTATTTCCAGGAATCTTGTAGGATAATAATTTATGCTTTGAATTGGCTATTTTATCCTGGCTGTTTTATGCCATTTTATCCTATTTTATACACTGAGGAATCTCAGCTTTCACTGGTTCAAACCACATTGGGGTGTGTTGTCTTTGTGCCTTCCCAAGACAGCAATTCCAGAACATCTGGAAGCCCAGGATTTTCCCAGAGGATCCCAAGGATTTCTCTTTTAGCCTTTAGGAGAAGGTCTGGAAAGCAATCAAAGCCCCCACAAAGCTTCCCGACGTTTTTAATCTGAGGGAATGTAATTTTAAGGCTCCGAATGAAATGGATCTTGAATCCAATTATTTTAAGCTCCCTAAGAAACCTCTTTGATAACAAACAGGCAGAAATTCAAGAGTTTAGTAAATTGTCCTTCCCAAATTACGAACAGTGTTTCCAACACACGTAAAATAGTAAAGAAATCTTAACGTTTTTATTTATATCAGTTTGTCTCCACGGGCATCCCCGTGGAATCAGCAGCATTAAGGGCACCAATGTAATTTGAGCTGCTCTAATAAAATGAATCATTCGCTCAAAAATGCAAATAAAGCCAGTTGTGCCACCTGGTGTCTGAAAGTGCACCCTGGGTTTGATTTCCAGCACAGTGACTGACCTCCAAACAGCTGACCCAGACCTCAGCCAGCACAGAAAGTGCTTTGTGAAGGGAAAAAAAGCCTTCATGTCTTAAATATTTTTAAACCAAGTAAAGAAAAGAAGGAGATGAACCTCTTTAAAAAGCTCTAAAAGAAAACTTTAATCTTTTCATACCCTGAAAGGCTTTTTTTTCCACACAGGAAACGTGCATTTTGGCATAGACTTTCCTAGATAACAACACTGGTCATGATTCTCAACACTCCTGAGGAGGGTTTGTAGGGGTTTTTTAACACCTTCAAAACACAAACACAGCCCTAAAAGGATGAGGATTTCCCCTTCCTTCATCATTGTGATTTTTAAGTATTACAGGAAAGAACTCCAACTTTTCTTCTTTCTCTGCTCTTGGCACTGCCCAACTTACTTGGAAAAAATGACCATCAGCTTCTTCCTGTTTTTTCTGGGCTCTGAATCTTCCTCAAATTCTTCCATCTCCTTCCCAAGGAAAACCTCCTGATGGAATTCTTTGTTCAGGTGCCCATCCATCTCCATTTTGACCCCGTTCAGGTGGTCTGGGGGCAGGATCTCGTTCTCATCCTTCCCATCCGCTGCTTTCTCCCTGAGCATGGAGTTATTTGCAGGCCTGGCATAAACATCCATGAGGAGGAAGATGAACAGGAGGGATAAGTACAGAGATCCCAAACTGCACAGGAAGGCTTGTCTCGACATCATTTTGTTCCTTTTTTTTTTTAATTCAAAAAAACCGGGTGATGAAATTACTGTGGGTTAAATGATCTGAAAACACAACAAAAAAAAAATGGAGAAAAACACATAAATTAGGCTCTGGAACGTGAGGACATAAACGATAATAAATAAAGAACACCTAAAATTCAGGAGAACCTACACACAAGTATAAAAAACCTACACACAGGTATAAATATGTAAGTATAAAAAACTGCACAGAAGTATAAATATATAAGCATAAAAAGCTACACAGAGGCATAAACATACTACATTATAACATATATAGTACACACATACTATATATATACTATAATGTGTATTATATGCATACTATGCGTGATAGAAACTACATGGAAGTATAAATTAGGAACAACCTACATACAAATACACAAGTATTTGCTGTGAGAGAGTAAAAAAGAGCCCATTAAATAATAAACACACGGAATTAAAGTGCTGGTTTTCAGCTTGCAGAGGACTTTGGAACACCCCTCCAGAGGCACAAACAGCTACAGCAGCACAGCACTACCCCAGAGATCCCAACACCACAGCTGTTTAGAAAAGGAATAAAGGTCTTTTGGGAGAGGGATGAGCGAGGGGAAACGCGGTTTGATCCCAAGAGAAAGCGGAGCTGGAAACATGCAGGAAACAGCGGCAGGAAGCGCAACCCCTCGGCGGACCTGTCACAGAACCATAAAAAAAAATCACAGAATGTCCTGCGAGACGTGGAATCATCCAGGAAAAACGCCCCAAATCCAACAGCGCGAGAGAGATCGAAACCACCCCCACCCCCCCCACACACACACACGCCCCAAACCCGGCAGGGCTGCGGGAAGGGCCGCCCGCACTCACCGGGGGAGCGCTCGGCAAGGAGGGAGGGAGGGAGGAAGGCGCGGCCCCGAGCGCCGTGAGAGGCGCGGGGAGGCTCCGGGCGGGCCCGGCCGCCCCTCAGCCCCTCGCAGCCCCTCACGGCCCCCCGGGCGCTGTGAGGGCGGAGGAGAAGGAGGAGGAGGAGGAGGAAGGAAGATGGCGGAACCGCGTCACCCCACAGCGTGAGGCCGCAGCCGCCATCTTGGGCGAGGGCAGCCGCCATCTTGGCTGAGGGCAGGAGCCACCTCCCCCTCGGCTCTTAAAAGAAACCTCCCTCAAGCTTCACTTGGTGAGTTTCAGAAGCCGAGAGTGCTTTGTTGAGGCGCGGTCGCAGCGCGCTGGGCGCCCTGGGAATTCACACAAGAGGTATCGCTGCTACAGCATCCCCTCCCCAAGGAATCTTGTCCCCTCACGGCAGCCGTACAGACCCCCCCCCATTCACACACACAGAGCCGTTCCCGCCTAAACCGCGTGGGCGTGGCCGCGCTCCGTGAGGGGGCCCCGGCGGCCATGAAGGCGCTGCGGCGGCTGGGCCGGCACCGCACGGCGCTGGGGCTGGGCGGGCTGTCCCTGTGCGCCGCCGTGCTGCTCTACCTCGCCAAGTGCACCTCCGAGGGGCTGCGCCCGCTGCCCGCGCCCCCCGCCGCCCTGCCCCACAGCCAGGCGGGCCGCGGCGCCCCGCCCGCCGCCCCCCCTCAGCGCGCCGAGGGCAGCGCGCTGGTGGCCGTGGTGGTGATGAGCGGCCCCAAGTACAGCGAGCGGCGCAGCATCATCCGCAGCACCTGGATGGCGGCGGGGAGCCGCTCCCAGCGCGGCCGCGTGTGGAGCCGCTTCGTGGTGGGCACGGCCGGGCTGGGGCAGGAGGAGCTGCGGAGCCTGGAGCTGGAGCAGAGCCGGCATCGCGACCTGCTGCTGCTGCCGGAGCTGCGCGACTCCTACGAGAACCTCACGGCCAAGGTGCTGGCCACCTACGCCTGGCTCGACCTGCACCTGGACTTCCAGTTCGCCCTCAAGGCCGACGACGACACCTTCGTTCGGCTGGACGTGCTGGTGGAGGAGCTCAAGGCCAAGGAGCCGCGGCGGCTCTACTGGGGCTTCTTCTCGGGCCGGGGCCGGGTGAAGTCGGGCGGGAAGTGGAAGGAGAGCGCCTGGGTGCTGTGTGACTATTACCTGCCCTACGCGCTGGGCGGCGGGTATGTCATCTCCGCCGACCTGGTGCGCTACCTGCGGCTCAGCAGGGACTACCTGAACATGTGGCAGAGCGAGGACGTGTCCCTGGGGGTCTGGCTGGCGCCCATCGACGTGAAGAGGGTGCACGACCCCCGCTTCGACACCGAGTACAAGTCGCGGGGCTGCAACAATAAGTACATAGTGACTCACAAGCAGAGCATCGAGGACATGCTGGAGAAGCACCAGACCCTGGCTAAGGAGGGCAAGCTCTGCAAGGAGGAGGTGAAGCTCAGGCTTTCCTACATGTACGACTGGGGGGTGCCCCCCTCCCAGTGCTGCCAGAGGAAGGATGGCATCCCCTGAGAGCCTGAGGGCAAAAAAGGGTGGTGATGGACTCGCAGCTTGGTTACTGTTACCTGGGGAGAATCCCGGTAACCAGGGGTTACAAATTACTCTAAAACAAAACAAAACAAAAAAAATAAGAAAAAGATTTTGCACGACTCGTTATGTCAATGAAAACCCTGCAACTCCCCGAGAGCTGCTGACGTGGCACGAGGTAGAGATGCTTAAAAGAAAAAAGCAGAAGGAGGTGACAGAAAGCTGGAAAGGCTCCTGTGACAGGACTGGAGGCAAATAATAGGTTGCAAAACATGGATAGCACAGAAAATAAACGGGGAGAGAAAAGCTGCTGGGAGATTGTCCCAAGATTTGTTTACTAAAGATTGTGACAGGCCTTTGTGCTGCTGATAAAGGTTGTGAAAACAGAACCTGCTGCTGTTTCCTGGCAGGGCAGAAATGTCAGTTTGGGAAGAGTAAAAAGGCTACAAATCAGCTGCTGTTGCCAGAGGGAACAGGGCTGGTTATTGTCAGGGGCAGGAAAAGGGACCAGTTTCCCCTGGGATACCTGAGCTGGGGGAGTGTTCTTGGCAAGGAATGGAGTTATTAGACCTTCTGTGTGTATGACTTGTCTCAGAGCTCTTTGCTGTTTCAAAGGCAACATGTACATAACTTATTCTGGATTTTAAACCTGGCAGCCCCAGAGTGTTTAGAAAGGTTTAGAAAGGTGGGTGAGTTTGGTATTTGGTGTATAAGCTTCCCCTCCAAACACTGTGTGTGAGGAATCATTTCCCTTCCAGCAGTAAATAAATCCCCTGACTGCTGCCAGACATTGTAGAATTCAGATTTATATTTCTCTGGGTTGGTTCTCACCTAAATGAGCAGTGGAGGTTCAATCTGCAGTGTAAGGAGTCACATTTAGGTGCCCAAAAGCTGGACTGGGTGAGTTCCCTCCTCCTCTCCAACAGGCACCTTGTAAAGGGATTTAAAATAATTTTACAGGAGGTCTGAATGAATTGCTCCAGAGACACACCCATAAATGTGATCCTGTCCCTGAGTCCTGGCCACACTGAGGAGCAGCAGATGCAGATTTTAGCAGTGCTGGCACACAAACAGTTCCACCTCGTTCGTTATTCATCTCCAGGCCTTGAGGTGAGCCTGGAATTCAAACATTATAACCTATATATATATATAAATATAAAATATGTAACACCCACAGGTATTTTTCCCAGAGCTGCCAACTCCCAGGAAGCTCCATCAGCTGGACGATGGCAGAGGTTTTTTTTGCTTTTCTGTGTGAAAATGTGAATTTTCTTTCTCTTCGAAGTGTCCTTTTGCTGAGGGACATCCTTAAGGACCAGTTTTGCTGTTTGTTGCACTCTGCACTTTCACACCCTCCCCACGTCTGTTCCCACCCTAAAGCAACAAAACAAACAAAAAAAGGTGCCAATATCTGTGTTTCTGCTTCACAACAAAATTAGCAATTCATACCAAAGGAATCAAGCATTGGTTTATGTATTTTTTGTTGTTGTTGTTGTTGTGTTTTCATTTTGATTAAATTATTGAGGATTAAGAAAAGTGTTTGCAGAAGGAAAAAACTGAATTATTTCAGCATGTGTCCATCCTAATGCATGCTTAGGTACTGCCAGGCGATGTGCTTTTCCCAAGGTATCCTATTCCCAACCAGGAATTCAACAAGATCAGAAGAAACTGAACTTGATTTTCACTTTTTATTTTTTTAAAGTGTCTATTTGCCATAGTGCTGTGTGTGTATATCTGTGATTAAATGCCTGTAATGTATTTATTTATAATCGTAATTCCTGGAAATGTATATTCTGTACAGGAAAAAATAAGCTACTTTAAAATGGCATTTTAAACTTCAACTTCCCTCCATTAACTAAAACATATTTCTATTTTACCTGAAAGGGTTTGTGTGGGACAGACCCATCGAGGTGATTTTGAGCTCCTTATTTCCTGCCACCATCCCTGGGGGTTGTGATTGGGATGTTTTTTATACTTGAAAACCAGGATTTGATCTCTTGGTAGTCAAATAAATGTGGTTTTTTTTTTTGTTTTTTGTTTGTCCTTAAAGCAGCTCTGTGAGAGTGGGAAGGTTTGATGTGAAAATAAAATTATCCAGGAACAGATTCACCTGGTTTTTGTTTTTGTTTTGGTTTGTTTTTGTTGCTGTTCTTAGTGGGAAAAGGTCAATGATAGGTTGGGCTTTTTATTTATTTAAATAATGTTTCTGCTCCTTTTCAAGGCTCCAAAACTTGGCCTTTTTAAATATTATTTTAGTATGGAAAGGAAAAATCATCAACCACAGCTTTCCTAAGTCACTGGTACACACTAATTTAGAAACATCAGCAGTCTGTGACACTCATGGTAATATTTACAGATGATTTTTTTTAATTCCTTTTTTTAAAAAAATCAAGCATTAAACAGCTGCCAGAGTGAATTAAACCAGCAGAGAAATTGATTGTTCATGGTGTGACCCTCTCTGTGATACCCTGCCCATCCTAATTCTGTGTTTTTCCCAAGACAAAGTCAGAAAAAATGGGGGGTTTAAATTTAAAAACTTGACTCTAGTGTGGTTAAAAAATATCTAAAAAAAATGGAACATTAATAAAACACCTCAGGTTTGGTTCTGGTTTGTGTCTTTAGGGAGGTTGTGGCAGAGAATTGAAAATATTTGCACTCTTCCCATCTGCTCAGATCATTTCAAGCACTTTCAGCAGCACCAGTGTAGGTGGATTGTCCTCTTTGAAGTGTGGGTGGTCCCATTAAATTATTAATTTCCCTGAATTATTGTCCCTGGCACACAGGAATTGCTCCAAACTCATCCAAGGAAAGGGAGGGCAAAGCAAGGGCTGGGTCGCAGCACCAGATATTCCAAAAGCAGTGGAATAAATAAAAGCAGTGGAATAGATGGGATGGATGAAATAAACAGGAGAAGTAGAATAAAATAAATGGAATAAAATAGAATAAAATAAAGAGAAGGAAACAGAATAAATGGAATAAAATAGAATAAATGGAATAAAATAGAATAAATGGAATAAAACAGAATGAAGTAAATAGAAAAAACCAAATAGAATGAAATAAATTGAATAAATAAAATACAGAGAGTGTAAGAGCCTCGTTTCCTTTTCCATAACACAACTCCAGAATAGCCAAGGAATGGTTTAACTCCCCTCTAAACCCAAACCCCTCCCAGTTTAAGCCAAACCCTTCCCGCGGTTTTCCTCTTCCCTTGCCCTATAAAATTCCCTCACTAGATGGCACTCCCTGCCTTTTGGAGCACCTGGAGGTACCCAAAGTGTCCAAAATCAGGACTCGAATCTGGCTTTGTTCTCTAATAAATATCTTCTGGTTTTAGCACAGGTGACTGGGAAGAAAAGGAGAAGAGTTTTCCAGATTCCTGGCTGGAAGATCTCCAGTGGGGTTTTATCTTCTTGCAGGGTGGCGGCTCCCTCAGCTCCTTCCCACAGCCATGGAATCACAAAGGCTGGAAAAGCCCTCCAAGATCCCTCCAAGTCCGACCCTTAACCCTTCCCACCACTAAATCCTGTCACGTCCACGTGGATTTTGGACACTTCCATGGACTGTGGCTCCCACAGGTTGGTCCAGAGCCACGAGGAGACCTCCCAAACCATGAGCCCTGAGCCCTCAAAGTTCTGTGCATCGGTTATTCCCACAGGATCGAGCAGAAACCGGCCCCTAAAATGAAATTATAACCACTCCACGCCTCAGCTTCCCCCTCAGTGCAGGGATAATGACGTCAGCACTGGGAAGCTGAGCTCTCAGAGGCTTTGGGGTCCGTGGCTGGATTTAGGGAAGTGCCTGATTTATCTCACACTCTGTAAAAGCCCAATCTGGCTCCTGAAAAGCTCCACCAAAGCCAAGGCCGGAGCTGGGAGGTTCCTGAGGACAGGGAGAGGGGTAAGAAAATAATAAGCAAGATCTAATTTCTTTGGAGTAGCAGATAGTGCCGGGAGGAGATAATTGAGGGCTCCAGTGGCTGCAGATAAGATCAGACTCACTTACTATTTCCAGCCAGGCTCAGACAGCGGGGCTGGAGTCACCGAAATAAATCCTACAACCTGAGACGAGTGAAACTCAGCGTCAGGAGCTGCAGGCTCCCAGAGATCTCCATCTGCAAGATTCCAACTGGCTGGAATCAGCCACCAGGGAGGATTTTTTCCTTGCCCAGTTGTCCTGAGCACCGGGGTCACTGGAGATGGCTGAGGTGAAAATGGGGAACAGGAAGGGATAAAATGGCCTTGCCTTTAATTCCAACTGTGCCAAGAGGAACTTTCCCCAAGAGCAGCAGCTCTTTTTGGG